TCACTGTCGGGGAGCAAGAAGATCGCCGCAGCGCATGAACTGCGCATGCGCAGGATCCCGACAAGGCATACAGGCAGGCAACTAGGACCCAGGCACGCCTGTCACCAATGATGGAACGAGCAGGCACTAGGACCCAGGTGCGCCTGTCGGCGCTGGGTGGGCTATTTAAAGAGCACCTCGGTGCTCATTCAGTGCTGGCTGGTCTTCGGCTTCCCCCAGTGTCCTGCTTGTTTCCTGTGCGATTCCTTTGGCGCTGACCCGACTCTGATTACTCTCCTGCTTCCTGACTTCGGCTCTGCACCTGACTTTGGCTTCTCCTACTGATTCTGTACTTCGCTGCCTGACTGTTGATGACCTTGGCTTCCTTTGACCCTGCTGCTGTTCTGTGTCCTGGCTACCTACTTGCTCTGCTGCACATCAGGCATTACCCAGAACCTGCTTTGTCTGCTACTATGGTATTCTAATCAGAGGATACACTGCCTTTCCAGGCCATCATCTGCAAGAGCCGCAAGCAACAACACTGGCGCTCTTGTCCCTAGACTCCCTCTGTTCCAACCTCAGCGGGGTAAGGGCTAGTGACACAAGTGAGGCCGACCTCGTCAATTCAGTCTCCTATCAGGTACGTGACAGTCACACTTTAGTACATGCATGCTCCAAACGGCACGGTCCTGCAGCACCATGCAAGGGTCAGGGACTTGTTCCCCTACAATTCTCATGGGTAGTGCATCACATAAAAAGTAATGGGCTGACCTGTGCACACAAATGTGCATGCAAAGATCCGAACAGAGCCTCATATCACAATCCCATCCTTACATCAGTGTTGACTGTACATCACAGTTTCCTCTCCTTCACAATAGTGTTCTCATACCCCCTTGACATCAACCCCCTCCTACAGTACTGACAGCTATATGTGGGCAAGCAACGGCTCTGGGCAAAACGGTGTACCCTTACATCGCTTTCTGTTTCCGGGTGTGAGCGCACATGAGTCCGCCCTCGGCTGCCCCTTATGCCAGTCCAGGTCCACAGCTTTCTTGAGCTCTCACTTCCCACTGGGGTGCCCGAGAATGCAGCTGGCGGTTCATTAAGGGCAGAAAGATCTAGAGCAGTCTTTCTCAACGAGAATGCCCAGGCACTTTGGGGTACCTTGAGGTTTCTTTAGGGGTGCCTTGGCAAAATGTCTAAAAATTGCAAAAAAACTTGTATGCAAGCCAGCGGGTGGATCATGCCTGCTATCAGTTACACAAAGGCACAGGTTTTCATTGTGCACCATCACAACCTTCTAGCTGCAGGCATCCTGACAACCAATGACATCAGTTGATAAGGAGCATGTCAGCTGCCTGCACAGCATCCTAGTTTTACCCTCCCCTGCCCCTCTCCATCAGTGCTGGGGTCACATTAGCTCAGTGATGAAGGAAAACTGAGGGAGAAGAGAAAAATAGGAATACTAGTCAGTATCAGTGTACAAAAGTGTATTTGCTGTGGAAGAATAAATACCCTCTAATGTTGGGTGTCCTATGTGTGTGTGGATGTTGTTGCGTTATATAAAATTAAAATAGTTTTTTTACATTTCAGAATGGGGTGCCTTCAGACTGTCCTTAATTTTAAAGGGTGCCTTAACTGAAAAAAGGTTGAGAAACATTGATCTAGAGTCTCAGACTCCTCAGAAAAGAGTACCTGTCACTGCCTATTCCTATCACAGTGGATATTTACATTCCCTGTGATAACAATAAAAGTGAAAAAAAAAAAAAAAAAAAAAGGGACAGTGTAAGCAAATAAAAAAAAAATCAATTAGCCCCCCCCCCCACTACAAACCCCCCTGCCAAACGCGAGCGTAGGTACGTAAACAGAGATTTCCCCATGCATGTGAAGTATCACCACGAACATCAGATCTAGAGCAGTAATTGTAGCACTAGAGCTCCCGTGTAACTCTAAAGTGGTAACCTGTAAAGGCTTTTAAACTGCACCTATGAATATTAAAGGTTTATGTAGTTTGTCGCCCGTTGCATGGATGTGCTCAATTTTAAAGCATGTCATGTTTGGTATCCATTTACTCAGCATCCTCTTTTATATTTTATCAGACAACTGGGCAATATATTGTGCTTTTTTTGCATTAAAATTCAAGAAACTGTATTTTTTTTTTTTTTAAACTGCATTTGAAAAAAATCACTGCGCAAATACTATGTGACAAAGTGCAACACCCAACATTTTATTCTCTAGGTCCTCTGCTTTAAAAATATATATAATGTTAGGGGGTTCAAAGTAATTTTATAGCAAAAAAACCTATATTGTCTATGTAAAGAAAAAGTGCCATAAAAGGCTTGACCTTCAAATGTAACCATTTGGGTACCAGAGTGGGTATCATGTGGCATAAGGTAGGTAGTGATAGGTAGTGAGGAAGTGACATGAGGAAATATGCCCTTTGGAAGCCTGAAGGTGGTCATTGGATTTTGGGGGCTGTGTGTGGCTAGGCTGCCAAAAAGTCTCTCACATGCAGTATCCTCATAATCAGGAGAAGTAACATAATATGTTTTGGGGTGTTATTCCACATATACCCATGGCATGTGTGAGCAATAGATGATTTAAAAAACAACTTTATATAAAAAAAATTTAAAAAAATGCTTTGTCATTTTACAAATTTTTTAGCAAAATATAAAATCTTCCATGGTAAATAATAAAGGAGGTGCGAGCGCCTTAAAACAAAAACAAAGCTGCTGTGCACAAAAAGGTAACCAATAGCACCCTAAAACAGACAATAAACAAGAAAGTCCCAATATGAATAATATAAAGTGACTCTCATGCTCAATGACTCTGGATCCGGTATCGGTGCAGTAGAGGTAAAGGTAATGCGCACTCACCGGACGCGCATAGTTAATGCTCCTTATATAAAAATCCAGATATCATCATCAAACAGGTATAGGGTAGATGGACTTCCCTCGCAAAGATGGTGGGTCGTCAGGATAGATGTTATGGGGTTGGTGAAGATGGTCCTCATCCTTTAAAGCTCCTTTGTACTCAAAACAGATGTAACTCTCTGGATATGCAGATTAACCCTCAGGGTATGGCAATTTGTCCTAGAGTATTGGGTCTGCTGATTAAAGAGCTCCCCCAGGGGGTAAGGACAAGGAAACTCCCATAGTGTAGTAATTATACAACTTTATTGTGATGCATCAATAGGCAAAAAAACACAGACAGGACTAACCATCTGGTATTAAAAATGGCTGCCGGAGCTCCATGTTGCTCCGGCGGCGTTTTTCAAGCAGGAAAAAGGAGCGCACTTCCACCTTCCACGGCCAGCGCATGCTCCGAAACACGTCGCAGTGCACCCTGGGATCTGACGTAATGACGGCCACGCCGCCACTGCTTTCCAGCGTGCGTTCCATCCGGCTCTGAGGGAGGACGTGCACGCTGGCCGGCCTCACCGCTGTTCCCCTCCAGCCACCATGCTGTTCCAGCCGAGAGTTGACCTCCCCACATCGCAGTAAGATGACGGCTCTTCACCCGGGTTACCACCCCACCGTTAACTACTGTTAACCACGGTTTTTTAAGCTTATGATTACTTCACACATGTGTTTCTACATTTAGACTTGAATAAAAAGACTTATTGCACTTAGAGGCGCTTCTCTCCTTTTCTCATCTACAGAGGTTGCTACAGCTTATTCAGAAGCCTTGCCCTCAGTGCCACACGGAATCCTACGCTCTTCATACAGTAGCCACTAATACCACGATCACCCCATAATACTATTTCCCAGGACTTTGCAGTGTTTGCGCTGTTACAACCCCCAATATCTATTATTGAGATTTTATAAATATCATAAATATAGCATGAAATTAAAATATATAAATACAAATGAATCCATTAACACATTATAAGAATGATAACTATTAAAAATAATAATAATCATTAGCAAACCTAGCATATACAGTATTAAAAAAAATATAATAAACTAAAATCATATAATATGTCAATTAAAATACCCCTTATAAATAAATAAAGTAAAATGCAAGGTAAAGATGTAACTAATAAAATATGGAGAAATAAAGGAAATCAACTATTTTCAATGGAACAGTTAATATGAACCTCAATATTTAAACCATTGGGGTGCAAGGAGCGGAGCTCATGGATCCATTTCATCTCAAGTTGGGACACCGTCCTTCTTTTGTGTGTACCCCTCCAATGGGGTTTTAATTAAATCAATACCTATGAATTTTAGGGATGTTGGGTCTCTGTTATGAACTCGCCTGTAATGTTTTGAAAGTGAGTGCTCCTTATACCCCCGTTTGATATTAACGTGCTCTTGTAATCTGTCCCTAAGTCATCTTGTCGTGTGACCAATATACTGTAATTTGTAAGGGCACTATAAAAAGTAGACCACAAATTTGCTATTGCATTTGATACATTTATCTATATTGTAGGTTTTCCCCATTATTTGTGACAAACATAGTTTGTTTATATTTCCTACTTCTCTCACATGTGCAAATTACACATTTATTACATGGGTAATATCCATTCATATCTTTAAAAAGAGATATACTTGCTGGTGGGTTAATTACATTGGGCGCTAGAAAATGTCGTAAGCTGGTGGCTTTACGAAAAACTATTTCAGGTCTTTCAGGTAATATTTTGGTTAAGATAGGATCAATCTTTAATATCTTCCAGTTTTTATTATTAATATGATTGACTGCCCTGTACTGTGTAGAATACGTGGTAATGAATGGGCAGATTTGACCTTTTTTTTCTTTTACTTTATCTCTTAACTAGTTGCCAACCGCAGATAGCCGAATGACGGCTGCACTGCGGCCGGCCAGTTCTGGGTGGACGTCATATGACGGCCTCCCAGAACGCGCTCTCCTGCGCGCCCCAGGGGGCGCGCACCCGGCGATCTCCGTGATCGCTGTGTCCTACGGACACAGCTGATCACGTGATGTGGTAAAAGGCCGATCACAGCGGCCTTTTACCACGTGATCAGCGGTGTCCAATGACACGCTGATCAGAGGGAAATGCAAGTGCCGGTTCTCGGCTGCACTTTCCTCACGCTGTCAGATTGTGAGGAAAGTACTGCCGAGAACCGGCAGTTGTCAGAGCGGGGATCGGCACCGATCATCAGGGCACTGATGATCAGTGCCCTGATGATCGGTGCCCAGCAGTGCCACCCGCAAGTTCCGCCCACCTGTGCCCAGCAGTGCGCCCACTAGCTCCGCCCACCTGTGCCCAGCAGATCACCCACCTGTGCCCAGCAGTGCACCCACCTGTGCCACTCTGCAGTGTCACACACCTGTGCCCAGAAGTGCCACCTACCTGTGCCCAGAAGTGCCACCTACCTGTGCCCAGCAGTGCCACCCACCTGTGCCCACCCACCTGTGCCCACCAGTGCCACCCACCAGTGCTGCCCACCAGTGCAGCCCAGCAGTGCAGCCAGTCAGTGCCACCAGTCAGTGCCCAGGGGTTGTGCCAGTCAGTGCCGCCAGTCAGTGCCCAGCAGTGATGCCAGTCAGTGCTGTCTATCAGTACCCATCATCAGTGTCACCTATCAGTGCCGCCTATCAGTGCTGCATATTAGTGCCGCCTATCTGTGACACCTCATTAGTGCTGTCTATCAGTGCCGCCTATCCGTGCCACCTCATTAGTACTGCCTATCAGTGCCCTTTAGTGCTGCCTATCAGTGCCGCCTATCAGTGCCCATCAGTGCTGCCTCATCAACGTACATCAGTAAAGGAGAAAAAATATCTGTTTGAAAAATTTTATAATAGAAACAAAGAAACGGTTTGTTTTTTTTTCCAAATTTTTTGCACTTTTTTTATTTATAGCGCAAAAAGTAAAGCGCCCAGCGGCGATTAAATACCACCAAAAGAAAGCTCTATTTGTGAGAAAAAAATGATCAAAATTTCATATGGGTACAATGTTGCATGACCGCGCAATTGTCAATCAAAGTGCGGCAGTGCTGAAAGCTGAAAATTGGCCTGGTAAATAAGGGGGTATAAGTGCCTGGTAGGCAAGTGCTTAATAAATCCTCCCTGTTAAGTTGTGCTACCTGGTTAATGCTACCTCATATTCCTCAGCAACCTATCAGATCACCGGCTAGAAGAAATAGGAAGCCCACTTATGTTCCCACACAAAACAGATCTGAACCATTTTCTGACCCCAATATTGGGATGCGTGATTTCCGGTGGCACCCTAACAGTCAGGCCCCAAGTAGGGAACCACCCAGACCATACTATCAACAACCACCCAGACCTCATTTCCAACAAAAACCGTATAATAATAATTACAGGAATAATGACTCCAGAAATCAAGGATCTTACTCTTCCCCAAAACAATTTAGAAAGACTACGCAAAAGGTATATAATAAGCCACGTTGGAAAAAACTATGATTCTACACGTTCCAATTATTTCAACGCCCCCCCCACCACATCTTATAATCAGACCCCCAATAACGACTCTCAGGTTCGTTTTTTAGGGGGAAAAAAGGCTAGGAAAAGAAGCGCGCCTGCAGAGGAAGAAGAGGAGAAAAACGGCCAACAGACACAGGGAAAAAGAGAAAAATGTAGTGGGAGGAGGGATTTTCAATTTAAGTAACATCACCTTCTCCCAACAAGAACTAGAGTTACCGGATAAAGGCCTCAAATTTGCACCTAGTAGAAAATTGGATAAATTCCAAACTTATATAGATATCCATAGGTTCTCCAGACAATTATCGCTAAAACACTATTTTTATTCAAATCCAATCACACAGAATGATTCAAATGGTCAGACATATTCTAACCTCAAAAATGCATCCACTTTTAACCCTCCCCCCCAAGCACATTCCTACATCCAATTATTTAAGGAATTGGCATTAAAGGACCTAGAGAACCTGGCTATCAAACCTACTCCTAGAACAGAAACTAATAAAGCCATGAAATCTCTCCTAGAACGCAAAGATCTGGTAATCAGACCGGCAGACAAGGGAGGTGGTGTAGTCATATACTTCTTTGGTATAATCCGATTTGATTAGTATAACATTCTGGGAGATACAACCACTTATGCCATTTTACCGAAGGATCTTCTGCTTCCATTTAAGCATATTTTAAAAGATATTATTAAAGATGGTTATTAACAAAAAGGAGAGAGATTTTCTATGCCCCACAGCTCCAAAACTACCGGTCTTATATACCCTCCCTAAAATTAATATAAATCCAGTCCAACCCCCCGGTAGACCGATTGAGAGCGGCATTGGCTCTTTGAGCTCTAAAATAGGGGAGTATATTGACTTTTTCTTGCAAACCGTAGTGTCACAAACCCCCGCTTTCTTACGCGATACTAAGCAAAATTTAAATGATAATAATGGCATACCTACCACTCATACTTTAGTTACCGCCGATGTTTCCACATTGTATAGTAACATTGCACATAAAGATGGATTAGAAGCAGCAGAATATTACTTGAGAGCACATATCACTTTAACCTCCTCCCACGTGGAATTTATTTTAACTTTGCTAGATTTTGCCATCAACAAAAATTATTTTTGGTTTGATCATAATTACTATTTACAGATCAAGGGCGTAGCAATGGGGGCTAAATTTGCCCCCAGTCTCGCCAACCTCTTTATGGCCCACTGGGAGGAGACGCTGATCTTTTCAAGAGAATGGCCTGAACTCATTTTTTATAGGCGGTATATAGACGATGTGTTCTTGCTATGGAATGGGGAGGAACAAGCCCTTATTAAATTTTTTTACGACCCTGAATTTTAATGATTTAAATATTGATCTGACTTATTCATACAACTTAATGGAAATCAACGTTTTAGAGCTCACACTTTTAAATCACAATGGTGGCCTAATTGCTAAATCTTTTTTTTTTAAAAAACAGACCGTAACAGCTTCATTCCCAAGAATAGTTGACACCACCCTAGGTGGCTGTCAAATATACCAAAAGGAAACAATTTACACGGATACGCAGAAACTGTACGGATCTGGATACCTTTTACAATCAATCCCTAATTTTACGAAACAGATTCCTGGAGAAAGGATACAATGCAGATGTTTTGGACTCTACCATTAAATAGGTAGGACAACTTAACAGGGAGGATTTATTAAGAAATAAAGTAAAAGAAAAGAAAGGTCAAATCTGCCCATTCATTACCATGTATTCTACACAGTACAGGGCAGTCAATCATATTAATAATAAAAACTGGAAGATATTAAAGACTGATCCGATCTTAACCAAAATATTACCCGAAAGACCTGAAATTGTTTTTCATAAAGCCATCAGCTTACGACATTTTCTAGCGCCCAATGTAATTAACCCACTAGCAAGTATATCTCTTTTTAAAGATATGAATGGATATTACCCATGTAATAAATGTGGCATTTGCACATGTGAGAGAAGTAGGAAATATAAACAAACTATTTTTATGTCACAAATAATGGGGAAAACCTACAATATAGATAAATGTATCACATGCAATAGCAAATTTGTGGTCTACCTTTTAGAGTGCCCTTGCAAATTACAGTATATTGGTCGCACGACAAGATGACTTAGGGACAGATTACGAGAGCACGTTAATAAAATCAAACGGGGGTATAAGGAGCAGTCACTTTCAAAACATTACAGACGAGTTCATAACAGAGACCCAACATTCCTAAAATTCATAGGTATTGATTTAATAAAACCCCATTGGAGGGGTACACACAAAAGAAGGGCGGTGTCCCAACTTGAGATGAAATGGATCCATGAGCTCCGCTCCTTGCACCCCAATGGTTTAAATATTGAGGTTCATATTAACTGTTTCATTGAAAATAGTTGATTTCCTTTATTTCTCCATATTTTATTAGTTACATCTTTACCTTGCGTTTTACTTTATTTTATTTATAAGGGGTATTTTAATTGACATAGTATATGATTTTAGTTCATTATATATTTAATATATGCTAGGTTTGCTAATGATTATAAGAATGATAAATAAGAATGATAAATGATATTAAAAATAATAATAATGTGTTAATGGATCATTTGTATTTATATATTTTAATTTCATGCTATATTTATGATATTTATAAAATCTCAATAATAGATATTGGGGTTTGTATCTCAACAATATGAACTTTGGATGGTTCGCACATGCGCATCAGCTACTGTTTTATTACACACTACCCTTATCCGTTTATCATTTAAAAAGGGGGACAAGCAGGCTGATTGCTTTAGTTTTTCAGACATTTAACATACCATTTACATTTTAACACAGATACCCAGACGATCGTCTGCTCTATCTACAGATCCCAGTTAAACCAACGGAAAATGGCGCTGAAGCCCTCATGCGTGCGCAGTAGATAAACAGAGTTGAGACAGTCATTCATCTGCCCTGTAACTCACATAAGGAACGAAAAATTGCGCGCCCGAATGTGCGCGCGTGCGCAATACGTTCTGCGCTTCGCCAATATGGCCGCGGCTTAATGCGCATGTGCCGATTTTTCTATATATATATCTACGACAGACGACGCGGTGTGATTGGCGACCACCCTCTGAGGACGTGTTTGTACACGATACGCGTCAGGAGGAGCCACATCACGACGTGACGTCACGCCGCCCGGAGCAACATGGAGCTCCGGCAGCCATCTTTAATAACAGATGGTTAGTCCTGTGTGTTTTTTTACCTATTGATGCATCACAATAAAGTTGTATAATTACTACACTATGGGAGTTTCCTTGTCCTTACCCCCTGGGGAGCTCTTTAATCAGCAGACCCAATACTCTAGGACAAATTGCCATACCCTGAGGGTTAATCTGCATATCCAGAGAGTTACATCTGTTTTGAGTACAAAGGAGATTTAAAGGACGAGGACCATCTTCACCAACCCCATAACATCTATCCTGACGACCCACCATCTTTGAGAGGGAAGTCCATCTACCCTATACCTGTTTGATGACATCTGGATTTTAATATAAGGCACATTAACTATGCGCGTCCGGTGAGTGCGCATTACCTTTACCACTACTGCACCGATACCAGATCCAGAGTCATTGAGCACGAGAGTCACTTTATATTATTCATATTGGGACTTTTTTTGATTTTAATTTTATGTTTATTTTTTGATTGATTCTGTCGTTATAGTGATCTTATTATTGTTTATTATAAAATCTTCCATGGACTCAACATGCCTCTCAGCAAATTCCTGGGGGTATCTACTTTTCAAAAAGGGTTAATTTGGGGGGTTTCTGTACTGCCCTGGCATTTTAAGCACCTCAAGTAATCAAAGTAAAAGCTGCAAAAATTCCAATACATACACCATAGTTTGTAGACACAATAACTTTCACACAAACCAATTAATATACACGTACTGGGATTTATTTTTTAACAAAAATATGTAGCAGAATACATTTTGGCCCAAATTTAGGACTAAATTTGAATTTGATATTTTTTATAACAGAAAATAGAATGCTTTTTCTTTCAACATTTT